CAGCGTCGTCCTGGCGTGAGCCCCAGAGGTTGTAGCCAGCAGGCAGGGCTACCTGCGCTTGCCCCGGGGTTCATCGCACGTGGCTGCTGGCCGTGCATGCTGCCTGGTGTGTGGCCTGCCCTGACAGGCCAAAACTGGGTGACACAATGAAGGAATGCAATAACTGAGCCCCTCTTAGGGCAGCGGCTGCCAGCTCAGATGGCCGGTCTGACCAGTTTGCCAGCACGAGTCCTGGTTCTGATGGGTGACAGCTTTGGCATAATGGGCAGTTACATGCGTGGCTGTAGAGCTGCCTCTCACGGGGCATGGTGTGCGTGTTCCTTTGAAGCACTGACAATATTCTTAGCATTACTGGTATAGCAGTGCTAAGTCAGCAGCTGGAACACACTGTAAAGGGGAGCAAGAGGATCTCCCCAGACTCTCCTCTGCTCCGATGTCCTTGTCGGCTACCTGTTAAATCCCATCTTCAGGTTGACACTCCGTAGCCAGGTGAAGGTGGTATCTGGAGGGAAGTCTACCCCCGAGCAGACTCGTCTCTTTTTACTAGCCTCAGTTGGCCTTGTGCATACCCATGCTCTGGAGGGCGTCATCCCCCAGGAGGGCTGTAGTGCCGGGTGTTTCACCTTTGACTGGTCCCTGTGCCCCAACAAGTTCCACTTTGGCTAATCATCAGCAATAATTCTCCCCTTGGGCTAACTTCCTGCCCTGTAAAGCTGCCCTGTGTGACCGGGGGGTGAGGTGTGTGTACAGGAGTAGAGGAAGTGATTCCTTCCCAGGAATCTGGGTACCTGGCTGGCTCAGTGCTCTCGGATGCCTCTGAAATGAGAGAGGCAATAAGATCTTTGTCATGAGGATGGGTTTTCTGTCGCTCCATTGGCTCCTTTCCTGTACTTGGGACCTGATTGCAGCATCCTGTGCTCTAGGCGTGGTTCTGGACAAGTCTGCTCAATCTGAGGTGTGAATGGTATGAAAACAGAGGACGAGTGGCAGCAGGGGGGTGATTCCCAAGTCTGACAGTGCCAGGCAGTAGCTGGAGTGGAGTCCGAGTCTGCTGTGTCTCAGGAGTTGCTCTGAGTGATGTGACCTCAGCCCAAGCACTGCCTTCCAGGTTCAGAGCCCACTGTCCCTGGCCTCCTGCCACCCTCTCTGAGTTGACGTCTTTCCGAGCAGCGTGACTTGCCTGACTTCAGTTTCTCTTTCCTCCACTAGTGCTGGTGGCATGTGAGTGCCTCGTGTGCCAAGAAGCCAACTTGCTGTTTGAAGAGCTTTCCAGGGACACAGGCTTCATTCGTGTCTGTAACTACCCTTCAGCATGAGTGGATGCCAGGGACCTCTGGAATTAAACTTGTTCCAGGCGTCATGCAAGGATCTGCGCTAGTGCCTGTGTCCTCACGGAAAGAACAATAATAGCTCCACACACGGTAGGCTCCTGCAAGTGCCAACTCCCTCGATCTCCTCCAATGCAGGCTCAGGGATGGACTCCACCTTGTCCCTGTGAAGAGACTCTGCATGCTCTCAGCAGCCAGAAGGGGATTCTGCTGCCAGCTTCTTCACAAGCTGCCCCACAGCAGGACTTGCTCAGCGGCGCCTTGGGAGGATATCCATTCACGCGCTTGTGTCACTGCAGTGTCCACTGCACACCCATGGAGGAACCTGTGTGTGTGTTCCGTCTTCTTTGAGCTCCTCAGCCCACACTGTCTGAACTCACCTGGGCTCCTGGCAGGCTGTTTGCTTGTTTTCCCAACTGCTCTCCCTGATCCTGTTGCGTTCCCTCTCTTGCAGAGCCCAAAAAGGATGTGAACTTTGGAATGGGGTCTGTGAGCAGGCTGTGGACTCAGTGCATGTGTGAGACTGTTGCTGAATAACAGGAGGACTGGTTAATCGCTCCGGGCAGCCTTTCTGTCTGGCTGCAGGGCACCAGCCTTGCCTGGGCCCTTCACCATGTTCCTCCTGCTCCCCTTTGACAGCCTGGTTGTTAATCTCTTGGGGATTTCAATAACTGTTCTCTTCACTCTGCTTCTGGTTTTCATCATTGTGCCAGCAATTTTTGGAGTCTCCTTTGGCATCCGCAAGGTTTACATGAAAACATTATTAAAGATTTTTCAGGTAAGTCATGTTTTCAGAATTTTCTGTGTGTTTACAGGGCTCTTGTCAAGCATGGTCGTGCTAGGAAGGGAGGCTTTTGCCCCTCAGCAGAGCATTGCAGATGACTGGAGTGGGAGGCTTGTTTATTGGTGACATGTGCTGGTGCCAGATGACCCATTTGGGTCATTTCAACCAAATGAAGTTTACTAGATCTCTGTTCATGGGCTGTTTTCTCCCTGTAACTAATCCAGTAAGTCTTCAAGTAAAGTAGTAAGATAGTGTGGCCCGTAAGTATGCAATAGTACAGTAGGATCTGTAGATGTGCTGAGAGAAGCTGTGTGCTTGGATGGGTTAATGTCCCAGGCAAGGCAGAGTGCTGTTACAGTTCGATGTGGAAGGAAGCCAAAAGGGGTGTAGGGCGTGATGGGGAGGGACAAGGCTGCAGCCAGCGGGCTGCTCCTCTCCAGCACATGTTTGGATGAAGCAAAAGCAGGAGGTAAGGCAGGACTTTCTGTACTGCAAGCCCCGAGTGGTCTGTGGCCAGAACCCAGAGCTCTCAACACCCTTCTGTCCCAGAGTGCTGCCTGCTTTATCTGCTGAGCCCAGCAGTCATGTCTGGACCTGCAGCCTCTGAGGACGACCAGCAGCCCTTGCTGACCCTCTTGGCACAGAGAGACCAAGTGGAATTTTCCAACTTGGGGTCATGCTGTTCCCTTGCCTGCCTTTGGCAGACTAATTTTATGGGCTGTCTCACAGCCAACACCTCTCCTTGAAGCAAGTCCCTGGTGAGACCAGAATTTTTGCCAAATTCCTAGTAGATAAAGCCTACACCACCCTACCCTGGTAGCCCAAGCAAAAGGAAAAGGGGTGCCCTGTGCTTGATAGGGAAGTTTTAGGCTTTTAAATGTGGAGTTCAAGCTGCTAAAGGATTTATGATACAGCAACTGCTGTTTGAACAGGACTGATCTTCCCCAGGAGTATCTTTGTACTGGCTGGCTTGGGAAGGCAGCCCTGGAGCTTGCAATGTTCAGCTCTTCAAACTCTGAGTCCTCCCAAAAGCCTGAGGTGTGAATGGGAAGACCCTGGGCTTTGTGAGGTGCTTCGTTAACACAGATGTCTGAAGACCTGACTTCAAATTTAATGACTGAACTGGGAGAAAAAATTAATAAGAAGTTTGGTTTATCTGAAATGGAACTTTTCATCTTGTTTTCTTTTTTTTTTTCCTTTCTTCAATTCAGGAACGTTTAATCTCAACACCTCTTTTGGTGTTTGATTTTGAAACTATTTTTCTGAAAAG